TTCACAGCTATTTCTTTTTCGCATACACTCTACTCGAACTAGATGTTTTCTATGTAATAAGCTCACAAACAAAACAGCCACCTATGCCGGAATTCTCTTCTCCATCTACAGTTAAGAGAAGATTTGTTACACTGTTGCAAATTGCTAAAATTCACGCAGAGAAAAAGTTGTCATTGAACATCTAAGATCTAACGTCCTTCTAGCGTCGTGAGGCTCATGTCATTCACAGACAATGCCCTGTCGTCACTGGCTCTTCTAGGTTCACCGTCCCTAAGTGCAAAAAACACAGGTTCCATTGGTACTGGGAGCTGCATGGTTTTGATCTCCAGCATGGACACAACTGCTGACATGAGCGGCCTGCAACTTGGACTGTGTTGAACACACAAGAGCCCTATATGGACGCATCGTGAAGCTTCTTCAAGACAGCAACTCTCCATAACTGACGAGTCCACCAGTTCCTCTATTTTTCCATCTTTCCACAAGTTCCATGCCTGAACAGAGATAAAATTACTAGTGAGCTCACCTCTGTTGTCTGTGGATAGCTTTAGCCCTGAATTTATGCATTTCGATACTTACATATGAGATAAGGTCAGGACAATCCATGATAATGTGTGTTGACCTGATCCTTAATCCACTTACAATCTCCAGCAATAGAACACCAAAGCTGTAGGTGTCCGATTTGACTGAGAAGGCACCTTCCATTGCATATTCAGGAGACATGTAACCACTGTGCAAATGATTTCACCTATAAAGTCTGCATAGTTTGACAAAGTGCAGGCATATAAACTCAATATGAATAATGAGCAATGCAGGAGTAACTTACTAGGTCCCAACAACTCTGTTAGTATTAGCTTGAAGCTGATCACCATTGAATATCCTAGCCATACCAAAATCTGATATCTTGGGGCTCATCTCCTTATCTAACAAGATGTTGCTGGCTTTTAGATCTCTATGGATTATTCTTAGTCTTGAGTCCTGATGGAGATACATAATTCCTCTAGCTATCCCTTGGATTATCTTGAACCTTGTTGGCCACTTAAGCATTTTCTTTCTCGTAGAGTCTGATAAGAACAGCACGAAATGAAGCATTATCATAATGCATATATAGAACTGTATTTGCATGCAGAGTGGTAACTATTGATACTTGAATTTACCAAAAAGGAAGGAATCCAAGCTTTTGTTGGGCAAGTATTCATAAACCAACAATTTCTCATCTTCATGAATACAACAACCAAGAAGCTTAACTAGGTTCTTGTGCTGCAGTTTTGCGATCAAGGCCACTTCATTTCTGAACTCCTCTGTGCCTTGCCCAGAACCCTTACTAAGTCTCTTGATGGCTACTTCCTTGCCACCTTCCAACTTTCCCTGGACGTTTTAATCATTCCAAATGAGGTAACTGAATAGTATTTTGTTTATCACTGTGAGTTTCATGGAAAAAGGAAAATTCTTTTAGAACTCTTACCTTGTAAACATTACCAAATCCTCCCTTCCCAAGCATATTAGAGTCAGAGAAATTGTCTGTTGCAGCAATAATGTCATTAAAATTAATAAATGGGAATTCTATATTTTTGTCCCCAGGTTCATCTGTAGACTCCAAGTATTCTATCATCATTCTCTTCTGAGCTTCCTTCTTTTGCCGTTTGCCTGCTAGTAGAAAAATCAAAGGGTTCTTGTTATCAACACTTAAAAGCACAATGTAGCATGTTGGAGAACAGGGCTCTTGTCATTTTTACCTCTGTATTTGTGTGCCCAGAAAAGGGCTATGAATGCAAGTAGCACCAGGCTTGGTATGGTCAAGAGTAAAATCATTGTTAAATTCCTTTTCTTTTGAACTGCACACGGAAACAAACTGATTTGTGAACACTGCACCTCCACAATGATTAATAGATTGATATGCTTAAAATATTTTTTTACCACTCAAATGTTAACACCTCCAACACCTCCAACTTATATCACATATGCTTATACGTTGACTTACTGTTACGATTATTTAAAATTGTTACCAGCAATCATGAGTTTAAAAGCATTGAGATTATAATATGATTGGTGTCAGGGCAAGCTATGAGTCATATTCACAAGTTCTGTTCTGATGATTTACTATGTGTTTGCACTAATTTCGGTATAGTTTGTAAATGTCACTGCAGGATCAAAGAAATGTGGTGATTGGATAGTGCATACCAGGTGAAGACTCGGCGAGCCGGAGGTACAAGCTCTGAGCTGCAAGTGCTGCCCTACCCATGTCAATGAGATCCCCAGTCCAGACCAAGCACCTAGATGTGCTACCTATGGTGCCAGAACTGCTCAAGTTGGCAAAGGCATACGCCGTGCAAGAACAGTTCCTGCTGCACTCAGCTGCGCACTGGTCGAAACTTCTGTTCCCCACATCCAGGAACTTGTCAGGAAGCTTCACCTTGGGCATGGTCACAAAATGATTTCCGTTCCCGCATTTCAGGATTTCCTTTCTCTGGCATCCTCTTGAAAAGTTGAGACTGTCAAGAGGCTCAAACCCATCAGGGCACCGGCACGTTGGAGCAGCCCCTGTGTTGTCGCAGTAACTGAACGTGCCACAAGCGGCGTAGAGATTGCAATCCGCAGGGGACTCTGAGATGACTGTCCAGGACAATGTGCTGTTGCTCCATGTCAGGATCCTCAATCTGCCGGTGTGGTCAATCATTACACGTGTGTATGGTGCGCCGTCGGAGACTGTGTACATGAAGTAGAAGATGTCCCCTGTGTTGACAACAGTTTTGTACATGATAAAGTTGGTGTTGCTTCGACTTGTGTCGCCGGACACGGAGATACCGTCGAGCACAGTGGTGCGGTAGTATGGCCGGCTTCCACGCCAAATGAAGATCTGAAGGTCAGAGCTGGGGTCGACACTGCAAGAGAACTCGCCAGTTGATGGATCGTCAGGCCCTTTCCAAGCAGAGAGATTAGTGGTCACCCGATCCTTGTAGCTTATCAACATCCTCATGGTTGGAAGGATGGTGTCAGTCGGGTGATCGAAGCTCTGCCATATCTCTGTGCCGTTGGAGGAACGGAGCACAAGGTTTCCCGAGTTGAGTAATACCGCCACAGCTCCGGCATCTTCAGTACTGGTCACGCTGTTTGTCCAAAGGAAGCAGCCGTTGGAGTCCAGCAACGCGAGCTCTGAGCTGTTGGTGATGACAAGCTTGGCTGATGAGGGCGTGGTGACTGGGCTGTCGCGGTTGGCGACCCACACTACGGTGCGCTCCGGGATGTTATGGTACCAGATTCCGATGTACAAGTTGTTGTTGGAGTTGGCCAGAGAGAAGAAGCCGAGAGCAAAGGCTCCTCCGTCGGAAATGAGTGTTTCGCCAGGGGAGAGCGACTTTGCTTGTGGCAGGTGGTCATCGGATTTGCAGAACGAACTCAAGAAGAGGAGGATGAGAACGGGAAAGCAGGCCGTGGCCATTTTAGGCTCTTGTTCTGCCTCGGCAGCAGAGAAGAAGTAGTTGTGTGTATATAGATGTAGAGCTGTTGAACATCAAAAGGACTTTTGTCTTCATTGCGTGTTTGGGACTGGGTGAAACGAAGGACGGAAAGGTCTGCGGCCATTTTTCGGACGCTAACAGGCAGGCAGGTAAGACCGTAAGAGTCTACAGAGCTTCCGTCACAAAACTTGAGATTAGCGCGGCAGAAATTTCAAAGCAAATGCTAACTTTTGAAATCTAGAAACATCAAGTCAAGGACTGATGGCAATGACGCAGGTGCTGACACTCGCAGCTATCTGGAAATTTGTTATGCACAAACGCAACGCATCCAAAATCCTGGGAAGTGGGAACCGGCACAGCCATGGAGCTAGGAGCCGAAGCCGAGGACCAGAAGCTGATCATCATTCAGCACTCAACAATTCAGCATCGCTAGAGGTGAGTTATGGCTGATCGTGCCAATGCCACACCAGTATCTACAACGGCACCTGCAGCTGACTGGAAACGACAGGTGCACGAGAACTCCAGACCGAGACGGATTGAGGCCGACGGACTTCAACTGCCAGAATACCGCATTTAGTTCGGCAAAGTTTACTTGCAAAGTGCACGATTTTCGTTTGTATTTATAAATTATTGTCCAAACATAAAGTAATTAAACTCAAATAAAGCACAACTTTAAACACAATTAGTTTTTAATTTCATCTACAATCAGTTTTTAATTTCATCTACTTCGGTAGACCATGCATGTACCTATATTTTCCCACTATCTATTGATATAGCTGCATGCATAGTTATTTCCTTTATGGAGATAAAAATTCGCTTAAGGAAACCAAGAAGACAAGTACACAAAGAGTTGTGCACACACGCTATTTCTTCTTAGTTACTGCGCAGCTGCTTGCTCTTTCACAGCTCTGCTGGCCATCATCCTAAATAGCAGCGCTCGCTGCTCCCACTGGCTTCAGCAAGCAGTTTGGGACTAAAAAGGCAAGCGCCGGCCGTGCGGGTGCGGCGTGCCGTGAGCACTGCGCGCGCTGTCTACGCTAACGGGCCAATGGCCGAACTGCAAATCAAAGCCTGCGCTGTGGATTTCCATTTCCTGCAGGCCAGACTGCACTGATGATGCCCACTGGCCCAGCGGACTGCGCGGCCTAGGCAGCCGCTTGCTGTCCGGCCCAAACAAATGCTGTGAAAGGCAGGGGCCTTGACAGCGCACAAATCTGGGTCGTATATAAGCACTGGATCCTATTGGGCTTCGAAGAGTGGTGGAAGCGAACCAGCCGCGAAAAAGAAAAGGTTGCGTGCCCGAGTCGCAGCCGCGTCCCCAACGCGAACCTTCCTTTCCTCCGTTCCTCGAACTAAGAGACGGTAGACAAACAGTCGCCGGCTCGCCGCCCCTCTTCCCGACGTTGCGCGCCTTCACGGTCCTCGGCCGCCGATCTGCCCAGCGCGGTTCGACGCCGTGCTCGCCACGGTCGCCATCTCGGCCGCCGCCGGAAACTTGGCATCCTTGCCGATCTCGTTCTCCCCTTCTCCCACCCAGGAGGCAACATGGTACGTTGGGGATCTAACCCTAGGAGCTTCGCTCTATTCCCTCCTCCCCCCTTCCCAAATCTCGGGGGCCTCCCTCGGAATATTTGTCCACACCTGTCCTAAATCTGGTGGAAAATCCATGCCGGTCGGGGGCATAATGCTTTGTTATTCGCCGGCGGTTCGATTGTTTGACGGATTGGTTCTTTTGGCTCTCTGCAGTCGTCGCTCGCCGCGGCGAGAGCGGATAACTTCTACTACCCGCCGGAATGGAGCCCCAAGAAGGTACGGATCTCTCGTCGATGAAACATCGTGTAACCCTTCATTTGGTTTATTATGTGTTGTGGCCGCTGATTCGTGCTGCTGTTGCTGATGTTTGTGCTTGGTCAGGGTGGGTTGAACAAGTTCCATGGCCAGCATGCGCTCAGGGAGCGGGCGAGGAAGCTCGACCAGGGCATCCTGATTATAAGGTTTCTTTCTTCTGAAACATAATTTTGTTTTCTTATTTGATTACACAAAGATGTGATGTTAGGTTATGTACACCAGTGGAGTATCCAGGGTTCAAAACCTGTGGAGCCAACCATATTGATTTTAAATCGATTAACACAAACATTCCATGATTAACATATATAATTGCAAATTCTATGAACCCCGCAGGCTCTACAATGGAGCCGCTGCGACCTCTCTGTGTATGTCCATGTGTTTGTTTGTATGATTTTTGGGGTGGGGTTTGATGGTGGGACATTGAGGGGAAGGGTTCCGTAAATAACAAATAGAGAGTAGAGGACTGACGTATATGGATGGAACACTTATGCCAACAAGTTCAGGAAGGTTCTTCCTAATCCTTGGTTGATTACATTTTGAAGCATTAAACATCCTTCAACAACAGTTCGGCAGATTGATCCTACTCTTATGTGCTTGTTCCTTGAATTTGATGCAATTCATCAGATTGCCTTTGGCTGAAAGGCAGGGTACTGCTGAATGATGTATCACATTTACCACAGATATGTTTATTGAAAGTGGCTATAGATAAAGTAAACATACGCACGTCACTATTGATTTTTCTTATTTGCATGGGATTAGATATTTCTTTGGCAAAACCGTTATTCTAGTTTTATTTTTTTCATCTATTGATTTATTATACTCTTGGGTTGATCTTGCAGATTTGAGATGCCTTTTAACATTTGGTGTGGTGGATGCAATTCCATGATAGCGAAGGGAGTAAGATTTAATGCTGAGAAGAAACAAGTTGGAAATTATTACTCTACCAAGGTACTTGACTGATTACTGTACAGCTTTTACTTACATTGCTATGCGCTTTTTCTGTTCGATAATCTCCAACATGTGACGAAGCATAAGAGGACTTCTCATTTTTTCTTTCAATTGATTGGTATTTGCTGATTGTGATAAATCTTCTGAATTTCCTTTGCCATAGGTTAAGTTCAGCCTAAATATTTACTTATCAATCCCAGTATATTGGTTTAGCCTCAGCCAGGAACCAAACTGAGGCACCCATTGATATTCACCCCATCACCTCACATTCTTTCCTGGACTATCATTGTTTTCTGTCAAGTGTACCTCACATGGCCTATCGTAATCATATTGATTTAGTAAATTTTAAAGTAGAGAGAATTTCTTGGAAAAAGGGGTTAGCATCAAACCAACGGTAAAACTGAGGCACGTGTACTGAAGATATTTGTGTTGAGGTTGCCAGCTAAGTTCTCTTTAAATGTCTGAGTGATGTGCCTCATAACATTTGTGTTGAGTTTGCCTTAGAATGTATTTTATCAGTTCTTGAATTGAGAAATAATATTTATTAGATTGATTTGTATGCAATAGGAATATAGGATTTGGCATTATCTGATGCCAAGTTAAGCAAAATGGGGCCACAATATCTTTTCTTATCTGTATGCCTCTCTAAGTTTTGAGTGATAATTAATAGAGTCAGCCCTAAAATCTGCTCGCCTACCTATCAGTGATCATTGATGAGAACGTGTCTGCAAAATTAGTTATGGTTGTATTCTTCAGGAGTTGCAACCAGTAAACCTAGTATTGATGAAAATTCAGTGTTATTCCTCATCCTAAACAAATGGTTCATGACCAATTTGTGAAAAACAACTGCTAATGTCGTCTCATTTCATTACATACAACAACAACAACATAGCCTTTCAGTCCCAAGCAAGTTGGGGTAGGCTAGAGTTGTGAAACCCACCAAGAGCCCCAAGTCACGGTCTCATGTCATTACATAAACCATATTATCCTTGGTATAGGCTTCATTAGTTCATTGTATTGTTGTTTGACCTATTTTATTTCTGACAAAGTTGAAGATAGTGATTCTACCTTTTGAACTAACGAATTAGCCTGTGAGCTTCAGACCTGAGTGCCGCTTGTCTTTAATGACAAATCATTAACATAAGATAATTTTATGAAACTATTGAGACTGATGTTCAGTGCTGCTGTTATCAGTCACACAAATTTGCAAAAACTGTTTGTTGAGAAATGACAAACTGTAATATTGGTAGGCATAATTGTTATTTTTAAATACCATGGTTTGAAAATGCTCCAAGATTCAACAAGCCCATGGGGAACTTATCCTTCAAAATGTGCAGTTCTGTTGGTTAAAGCTTTAATAGGCCCAGAATTTAGGGTATCCTGAGTCTAACGTCTGTCTGTCTGTCTGTCTATCTCTCTCATTCTTATTGAGTATGGTATCTTTAGTTATTTTAATTCCTGGCTTGATCCTTTTTCTGAACAAGGTTTAAACAGAGATACCGTAGGTTCTTCAAATAACAGCACATACAAATGAAATATCAGACGAACAGAATTTGTCTCTAAGTTTAATCTGATCCTTTAGAGAACCACAAGATTCTTTTTAGATTTGCCCTTCGACAGCAGCTTTAAAAGTAAGCGCTCTATGGATAACAACTGCAACCTTGCCTTAATGTTCATATTCAACCTATGTGGGTATGCGACCTGCATCCGTTTCTGGTTTAATATATCAATTTATTTTTCTTATATTGCCTTTTTCGTGCCGAAATGTGGTTTACTTAGGGGGTTCCATTGTCATTTGATGTATAATAATAACAAGATCCTTTGTTTTATTGTATGTATCTGTCTTCTTGCATATATTGAGTTTTTCCCCAAAAATACATCCTGTCAGGTAAAAGAATGTTTTATGCAGTAGCTTTAATTCCTTCTACAGTTTATGTAGAGCCATTTACTAAAGTGTATATAGTATACTAGTTCTGTAAAAGGATTATACGCCGTAGGAAGGAATCAGTCCTAACTTCTTGGTGCAACCATAGTCATATCACTGTACAAGGTCTGCATGTTTGTTATATATAGTAACAAACTTCATTTGTTCTCTTCTGAAATCTGAGAAATTCTTAATGCCTAGAGCTTTCCATAACCTTCTGCTGTTTAATTTCACACGTTCTTCTAAATCACTTTCTCCCTATGCTGTTCTCATTGTTTTGCCAAATGTCTACTTAACAGATATGGAGCTTCACCATGAAATCACCCTGTTGCAAGCATGAAATTGTCATTCAGACAGACCCAAAGAATACTGAATATGTCATAATCAGTGGGGCCCAGAAGAAAACAGAAGATTTTGATGTTGAGGACGCAGAGACATTGCTGTTGCCAGCTGATGAAGGTTCAACCCTGTAAAGATTTATTTTATTCATGAGAGACCCTTGTTTAAAATGCATGATGTTTATTTATGGATTTTTCCTCAGATCGAGACAAGCTCGCGGATCCTATGTATCGGCTTGAACACCAGGAAGAGGATCTTCGGAAGAAAAAAGAAGCTGAGCCAGTTTTAGTTCGCCTTCAACGACTCTCTGACAGCCGGCACTCTGATGATTATGCTCTGAACAGAGCACTGCGCGACCGTCTTAGGGTCATCCAATGAATTCCTATAAATTAATCAACTATTCCCACCATAGGCCATGAAATCACCACATTTCTTATCCACCTGTTTGTGTTTTTATGTAGAGCCAAAAAAAGAGAGTTGCTGAAGAGAAGAAGTCCGCGAGAACGTTGGGCCTCGGAGTGCGGCTCTTGCCTCCCTCTGCAGAAGATGCCACCGCTGCGGCTTCAGTGAAGTTTGCATCGAAATTTGAGAAGAGCAGAAAGGACAAGAGAGCAGCAATCAAAGCTGCCTCTATCTTTTCCGAGTCATCAAGCTCAGCCTCGAATGGTAAACTCGACCTCGTGCTGAAGAGGCGGAACATAAAAGCTGGCGCTGCTACCACACTGATGGCAGGCAGGGTGAAGCCGTCCTCGTGGCAGAGCGCCAGTTCTGCGAGCGCAAGGACTCGGATGCCGGTTCTGGCAGCACGCAAGTAGGCAGCTCAGGCTTTTCAAAATTATTAAGCTTGTGAAATATGGACTTGCCCGATTACCTGTAAAAGCTGTGGAGGAAGTAGCTGCCTGGCCCTTTATGAAGGAATGTACGTGTTATAACTGGTAGTGCTGCTATGGTTTTTTGGTTGTATCATAGTATCATGGTTGTACCTTTACGGGCTGTGAAGGGTGTGTATGGTAGGGCTATATACGAAGGAATGGACGTGCTAAGTAATGTTACCATTTTATTTTTGACACAGTTGTCATTTTTTTGGGGGGATTTGTACGGATTTTTTTTTTTTTTTGACCGAGTACAATTTGGACGCACGCAACTTTTTTTTTAGGGTATTCGGTTTAAGCACCAAGAAATGGGCCGATGCCGATTCTGAAGTTATGGGCCTGACAGGACGCAAATCTGGGCCATAAGCACTCGAGCCTATTGGGCCCTGTTGGGCTTAGAAGATCACTTTCCCCGCGCAGGCGACCCTCTGTGTCGTCGCCTCGTCGGCGTCCGTCGAGGCGTCGAGGGCCGAGGCTCCGGTAGTCTGGTTGCGGAGGCGGCTTTCGGCGGTGGGAGCGAAACCAGTCAAAGCGGCCGGGACTGCGGGCCCAGACGTAGGAGTCGCAGCCGCGCCCCAAGACACGGCAAAGGGGCTCAGCCGTGCCTCTGACGCCGCCGGCAGGCTCCAGACGGAGGGGTCGCAGTGCCATTGATCTTGAAGACTCAGTTCCTGGATTTTTTTTGGTAGTGGAGAGGTCACCTCATTAGACAGCAAAGTTTGAAATGGTGGGCACCATACCACCGAGGGTACAATATGTTGTAGAGTTGATATTTGACGAATGCTGAGAAGACTGCGCTGAACTGCCCCCAATGTCGTAGTTTATCGGGCAGTAAGGATGATGTGACCACTGGTTTTGGATCTCGACCCCTGTGGCGTCTGCTACCTTGACCTCCGTCTGGTGGATTGCTAATTGCTTCGAGCTTGAAACTGACATTCAGGGGAATATAGACCACACGCCCACACCCATTATACCTTTAGCTTCTTGTTTGTTGATTTGCCAAAGCTTTTCACGGTTTTGTTGTAGATTCAAAGAAGAGAGAAAAATGATGTCAATTAGGGGCCTTTCCGCTTCTGAAATTAGGAGGTTTGGCCACGTTGTTGACTGCCTTTTTCAGTCAAAAACCTTTAGTGATATTATGATTTCTCAATTTAAAATCTAAATCAAGAGTTCCTTACGGTACATTGAGTAAGCGTGGACCTTTCACTTCTCTAGATCGTCCAAAACTGAGATTGCTCATGTCTATGCTATGTTTCGAAAAATAATTGACTCCAATGTTTAAGAAAGGAAAAAAATTCCATAAACCAAATTTCATTGTTTTATCCTATGCCAAACCAAATTTATAGAACAGAGTATTAACATATTCACCGTTCAAAATAAGTAAACTATGAAATTATATTTCGTAATTAATCTAATAATACTATTTAATATCGTAAATACTTTTGTTCTTCTAGTTTATGATACTTTTACTTAGAATAAATACAAAGCTACTTATATTTTTGGACAGTAGGAGTTGAGTGTAATTTGGAGCATTTTGAACTTTTCTTCTAGACTATAGTACATTTTAAACAATTTTTGGGAATACTTGAATCCCCTAAAGATTACAAAAATCTGGATTCTAAATAGTGATTGTTGAATTTGGATTCTGGATAAAAATAACGAGTCATGTTTGGATTATAGATTATTACTAGAGATTCTAACTAGTTGGTTGGATGTATTATAAAAAATCTGCCCCTACATGTTTGGATCTTATTCTCGTTCTTCTATCTCGCTAATTTACTAGGGGATTTAAATGTGCCCTAATTTGACATGTTGTCAAACAAAAATCTAATTCGACATGTGACAGTTCTCATTGAAGTGAGAGGGGAGGAATGTAGGATGGCTCGCAAAGTTTGCCGAATGAAAAAAAAATCGGTAGGGATGGTCTCTGCATGGGTAACCGTGAGCACATGTCATGGATTTATGACATATGCCCATGCGTAAGCATCCAATGTATGTTACCATGCATATTTTCATGTGTTAGTTGGAAAGAAAAATTATTGCGTAAATTTACGAGGACTACAAGTATCTCTACTATAATTGAAATCTTGAATTATTTTAGATCCACCATGGAAAACGTCCCCGCTGAGGGTTGCAATCTTCGTGCACCCAGAAAATTGCACACGGAAATCGTCTTCATTAAAATCCAGAGCTACAAAACCATCCTGACATGATCCGATGGCTGACGATGAAAGTTTGATGCAGGCTTCAAACTCACCCCGCCCACCCACACAAGAGGCTTCAAACGCGAGCTTCTCACCCCCCTCACCCCCGCACGCGAGGCTTCAAAGGCGAGCAGGGTTCGAAGCCTGCGAACACCATAAGAAAACATGCCACTTTTTCTTGTTTTCTCCTTCCGAGAGAAGGGTCGGGACTCGGGAGGATCAGGAGACAACGGCGGGGGCTCTTGCGCCCGCGCCAAGGGTTTAGGCGAACCCCACGGCGGCTCCACGCGTCGGATCTACCTCGCCGCGACGTCGGCGATGCGCAGGCCTTGGTGTGGGGTAGCCGCCGCAGCCACCGGCCTCCGGGGAGGCGTCGTCGTCTTCGGCCGCGGCAGGACGGGAGGCTGCTGCCACCGCCGCCGTCGCGTGTGCTTTGACGGCCGCGCAGCCCACTGCGGGGGGCCCTCCGTCGGCCGCTGCTCCCTGGTGGCGGTGCTGCCCCGCCGCACTCCACCGGCGCCATGAGTCCTTCTCGACGGCGCACGCGTCCAGGGAAACCGCGCGCAGCTCCATCGAGGAGGTAACCATGGTGCCCTTTTGGTGGAGCCTGACGATGACGGCCCACGACTGCCGAGGCCGCAGACTTGACCGCGAAGAGCAGTGGCGGCGGTGCACTCTCTCGTCGGGAGCGAGAAGGAGAGATGGGGGAGGGAGGCTGACAGATGGGGTCCGTCTGCTGGTGAGAGGGGCCGGCCGACCGCGCCACCACCGCCGCGCGCCAGGTGCGTTGGTCTTTGACGGGCCCTTCATCTGCCCAACTGTAGTCTCGCCGGTCATCTACCTCCCTCCACAGCGCATCTGCCAACGTTGCCGCTGCTGTACTCACTATCCCGCTTGTTGTGCTCCACTCAGATCCATTAGTCCAGCGGTGTTCAATTCCATGAGTCTTGGATCAGACGTCATATGCAGCTTAGGTATATATAATTTTACATCTGTTCTTGGGGCTTTAGGCTTTCTACTTCGATTAAGTTCACTGATGTGATTTTGTCCTGTGCTAGATGTGTCTAGCTATCCACTGTTGCTGCCCACAAAGCTACATCTGGGAGGATTTGCCTGCCTATTGGGGTGTTGAAGGTATTACCAGTAAAAATTAATGTTGTCTTATATATGAAAATATTAGTACAATACAGCCGTAGATTTTCTAGAGCATGAAACAATTCGTCGATGGATTGGGCGATAAACAATCAATAATGGATGGTCGTTAAATAGCTATCTATGAACTTATTAGTGTGCCCTTCAATTCTTGATCACTGTGTAGAAAATGTAGGAATTTGATTGAGTCCATGACTCAGACCTGTAGTTTCTTCTGAAGATGTTATTAAAAATGTTAATCTAGGAAATAAGCGAGTAGCCAAAACCTTGTAGCCCATGGCAACTTAATTAAATTGGAGATTCTGCATGTTTAATATTTACAGCTAACTTGATCAGGTCCTTATGAATATTTATCCAACTGATATTCTTAGGAAATTACAACTATCCTGGTTGTAACATCGTCACATTTGGAAGAAGGAATTATGCAACATTTATTCTGCTTATGTTATTTGTCCTGCTGATAGTGTGTGCTAACTTATTAGTTTCTTATTTGTTGAATTTGACAAACACTAATTATCTTATGATGACATACTACTTTACCAGCTTTCCATCCAAGGAGGCCGCCGTGGATGTGCCGAGCCGCCCGCACGTTGGGTCACGCGGCAGGAGGATGGAAGACACGGCACACACACCTACATCAGCGACACGGGACTCCATCGATCTGGGCGACGCCGTGGCGGGTGACCTCCTGGTTGGGTGCGCGGCCTCCTGGCCGGGGGCAACGCCAGGCAGAGTAGCATCCTGGGTGGGGGCGACGCCGAGCCGAGCAGCCTCTTGTCTGGGATCGCGAAGATGAGCCTGCAACATGCCGGAGCCATGCCAGGCACATCGGCCTCACGGCAGAGTGTCCCACTGGTTCCCACTCCAGCCCTGCTATGGAGGAAGACGATGGAGGTGAGTTTGTGCCTGTTGTGGTTACAAATCAACTGTCATTCATGTTCAAAATGTAAACCTGAACAGAAAACTTTCTGAATTTTGCAGGTTGGCATACCGACACTTGTTCTAAATGAGCTCATTAAGGTTGTAGAAATTTATTCAAGGTTTCCATCAAAGTATACTGCACTGGGTTGGAAGTTATGCTATGTTAAAGTTGTCTGTCTAAAATTGCAGTTCTGATGTCAAATTCAGAGGTATTTAGGGGTGGGGTGGGGGGCTTACCTTTGAACTAAAAAACAATCCTATAATTAAAGTTTTATCTTTCACCACGCAGTATTTATATATGAACATTAGTTATATGTCGTTCATGGATTAGTGGCACGTCTGCAATTTGGCAAGAACTTTTAAGAATTTAGACTGCAGTTCATATATATATATATATGACAGGGCATGCCCTTATTCATCTAACGTTGGTCCCACACCCTTTTAATTTGTGACGGAATTTCACCTTTTTTGGATTCTGACATTATTCATAAGTAAGCTTCCAAAGTATGCTACTTTTTCTGTCTGATTTTACAGGAGCTTTACATATTCTTGGGTTGCCTCATTGTGATTTGTCTTGTCTGATTTATGTGATTCATTTGATGGGCTCCAGTAATCGTGGTGGGGTGCAAGCTGCACCTGAGGGACGGACAATTTGTTAGCCTTGAGCAGGTTATGGCGCCCATCATGCAGTCCTTCCGCGAGATTGAGATCTGCATTGAGTGCTCTGCTCTTCGGCATATCCAGGTTACCTCTCATCTTATGTTAGACACATTAGAATAAGGCATGTAGTGATATCCGAACTTTTGTCGGACACGTAAGAATAAGGCTTGTAGTGTTACAGACATGAACAATGTGTGTGCCTAATGTGTTAAAATTCTTGGCATTTGGAAGTTCTAATTAATAATTATGGATGTTGGCTTAACAATTATGGATGTTGACTTAATAATTATGGATGTTGACTTTGTTTGGCAGGTGCCTGAGGTCTTCTACTATGCCCAGAAGGCAGTACTTCACCCAACTACTCCGCTCTTTGATCAAGAAGTACAATCTCTAAAGCCTCTATGTGTGTGAGTGTTGAAGCAGATATTTATTATACGTGATAATGACAAGGATGGCGCTCCGAGCCCCTGAGTGACTGGAGCTCAATGAATTCCAGGTTTGTGTTCATGAAGGCTACCATGCTGTCTCTCTAGCAGTATACAACATCACTACTTCAATTATGTACTCTTATGTTCCTAGCGATGCTGAGATTCTTATTCTTTCTGTTTTACAGGTCCGATGTTTTAGTGCTCCTCTACAGCCTACTGTTTTTTTTTTTAGGGGAGCCTACTGAAATTTCAGGAGTCAAGAGAGTTGTTCAGGAGAAGATGCCAGAAGTGTAAATGAAAGCCGCCTTACCTTGACTGGGTTCCTTTTTCTGCATGGCCTATTTACTGAAAAAAGTCGTTTGGAAACTACATGAACTGTATTGAGCAAATTTGGTTACGACAATGACATCAAGTTTAGGGATGATCTCATTCCAATGCCAATTAAAACAGCTCCTGAACAAGTATGTTTGTTTTGTTTTATGATTGATACAAATCTTTCAATGCCAATATTACTTATTTATCTATGTCTATTTATCTATGTCTTTGTCCTGTTCCAATCTATCCATTTTGATATCAACCTATCCATTTTATGACAATGGTTCTTTATTAGTAGGGTAGATTAATGCTGTTACGTTTTTCTTGTTAAGCAAATTAAGAAGTTTCCTCATGCACAGGGACTGTAAAACACAATGTCTCTAATTAATAATTACCATAAATAACAATTGTGTATATGATTAGGATCATGGAGGATATATCTCATATTGGAGGATCATGTGTGCAGGAGATGCAGGCTTTGCAGAGAGCTTGCAAGGTGCTGAAAATTTTAGTTGGAGCTAAGGTAGGTCTCTTGTATTAACTACAACCTGTTCTAATAATTGTAACCTGATATATCTTAAATGATTTGAACTCGCAGTCAATAGAAGACTCGACGAATGGATTAAGCTTGAGAAGGTTGATCATGATACTGTTGAGACCGATGTCAATGAGAAAGTAAAAGATAAGGTGAAGGGAAATACACGTTGTTATGTTTCTATACATACTAATGGCAAACATTCCATTTTCTTCACATTTAGTCCTTTATGATGAATAGACTAGGTTCCTGTTTCGTATTTCACTAAGATACCATTCAGAAAAAAAAAAAAACTGCCGTGATCAACCATTGTGCAAAATGAGGACAATGCCTGGACAACTCCTAGCTGTCTGGACAATGCCTGGTTCAGTGTTGTGGTAGTATGAATGGCCTATTTATTTCTTTCCAGCATTGCGTGAGCATTTTAAAACTAAAAAATTATCTTTGTTTCAGTTAGCTGTATGAAGTGTAATAATTCGTACAAGATGGGAATGCACTGAGGACCAAATTCTTACACAGATGTTGAAGTACAAGGGCAGCGAATCTAAAGACAACATTCCTGAAGATATACAAGAACTTACTAGGCGTGTTAGGAATTAGATGGCTTAAAAAGATATATTAGTTGTGATGTTATTTATTTTAAATGTTGCTCTTTAAGCATAATCTCTTTTGGTGTGAATCTTAATTTATCTCACTATTTACTTCACTTTTAAGAAATAGTTATATTGTTTTTACTGTAGTATTAGCATGGGCAAGGAAAAATACTGTTGTTTGGTTGCATCCCTGAAATATCGTCGTGGCGTTAGCACGGGCACTATATAATTATGTAAAAGTTGAACTATGCAAAAAAAAATATTGGTTATTTTCATATGCATTCTCAGAATAAAGCCGTAGCGTTAGCACGGACATTATACTAGTTTAGATAATTGCATAAATTTAGGAAGACTGCAACTCTTTAGATACTTATGCATGGACATATATCGTGAATCCGTTACAGTACCCACCATTATGCCATGAGAATATATTCCTCCATTGTTGTACACGGTAAAGATGAGCTTTAAGCAGCCCATGTAATAAACTCAAAGGCAGAGGAACATCATATGCTGAAGTGCACTTATCCATGTACAGTCAACATTTAGCGGCCTTCTACCTCCGTGAAGCTCATGGCATTCAAGGACAATACTCTATTGTTGCCAACTCTTGCAGGTTCAGCATCCCTACGTACAAAATACACTGCTTGCATTGGTATTGGGAGCAGTGTGGTTTTGTTCTCCAGCATGGATAAAACGTCTGACATGAGTGGCCTCCAGTCCGGACTGTCTTGAACACATAAGAGTCCTATGTGAATGCACCGTGAAACTTCATCGAGTGGACAGTTCTCCTTAATAGATGAGTCTACCAAATCATCTATTTTGCCATCCTTCCATAAGTTCCATGCCTGAATAGAGAGATAATTTTCTCAGCAAGTGAGTACATTTTTATAGGCAGCAGAGCTTGATTGGGAGCATCACTCTTATGTTAAAAAAAAGATTGGGAACATCACCCAGTACTTACACATACTATAAGGTTAGGAAAATCCGAGATAAGATGTGGTGAGCTGATCTTTAATCCACTCACAATCTCCAACAGTAGAACACCAAAGCTATAGGTGTCTGACTTAACTGAAAATGCACCTTCCATTGCATACTCAGGGGACATGTAACCACTGTGCAAACGAGTCACCAGTACATGATATTTGCATGATTCAAACAAATGCAAGTAGATAATTCCATCCAAATAATTTTGTAGTTCAAGAGTTACTTACTATGTCCCAACAACACGGTTAGTATTTGCATGGTCCTTATCACCGTAGAATATCCTGGCCATACCAAAATCTGATATCTTAGGGATCATCTCTTTATCCAACAAGATGTTACTTGCTTTGAGGTCTCTATGAATTATTGTTAGCCTGGAGTCTTGATGTAGGTAAAGAATTCCTCTAGCTATCCCTTGTATTATCTTATGCCTTGCTGGCCACTGTAGCATTGGCTTTCTTTCAGAATCTGATAATAAGAGTGTCATATAAGGCATGTGGTAAGGCATGTATGGAAAATATTCTTTGGAGTTTTCATAGTATGAAAAATCAGAAAATAAATGTACCAAAGAGGAAGTAATCCAAGCTTTTGTTGGACAAGTACTCATATACCAACAACTTCTCATCTTCATGAAGACAGCAACCGAGAAGTTTAACTAGGTTTCTATGCTGCAATTTTGCAATCAAGACTACTTCATTTCTGAACTCCTCTGTGCCTTGTCCAGAACCCTTACTAAGCCTCTTGATGGCTACTTCCTTTGAACCTTGCAATATTCCCTACATGTTTTGTTCAGAATCTCATATTTTTTCTTGTCATTGTAACTATCAATGTAAAACCTTTTTATCAGTACCTTGTAAACTTTTCCGAAACCTCCCTTCCCAAGCATATTGGACTCTGAGAAATTGTCCGTTGCTGTGGCAATGTCTTCGAAGCTAATAAAAGTGCACTCTATATCTTCACCCTCATCTTCATCCGTAGATCTCAAGTATTCTAGCACCATTCTCTTCTGGACTTCCTTTTGTTTTTGTTTGCCTGTTGTAAAACATCAGTGTATTTTTTTTAACACTAACTCAAGAATGTTGTATTTGGAGAACAGGGCTGCTTGTTGTTTGTACCTTTGTATTTGCATGTCCAGAGAAGGCCTGCAGATGCGAGTAGCAGCGAGCATGCGATGGTGGGGAGTAAAATCTTAGCTAGATTGCTCTTATTTTTAACTGCATGTAAATATATCATATTAGAACTTCTGCATCAAGTAACACTTGATTTTCTCACTAACAACCTCACCCCTCCTTCCCACACTAGTGAGTATCGACGAGTTACAGGTATGTGATATTGTGAATAGCAGAGGCTGCAGTATATATGCTCATATATATTTACAGGTACAAATCGCTCAAGTTTGAATTTTGCAGCTGTCTAAAATGGCATCAATATTGCAAATACATGTTTCATCGGATATGATTGTGCACATTTCAGTTTACCTTTCCCGCACTGGGCGGTGGCTTTCATTTTTAACCTTAGTTGTTACACCTTGTTTCTATTTTGTAAACCATCTTGTAATAGGCTTGTAGACCAAACCTCTTCTTACATTTGATCATTGTGGCTCCTGCCATATTTTCAGAAAAAAGGAGTACTAAAAAAATGCTAGATGGCACTGGTACCTGTTTTTATTTTATTTTTTGACAAAAGGCAATGGTACCTGTTGAAGTGCGAGAGACAAAGCAGATGGTTTGTTTTTTATGCCAATGCTAGTTAAGATTCTAGGTCCACTTAGAATGGCATGGGTCATGACACAGCAAAAGGCATAAGTGTCATGCAGGATAAAACATTTTGGTTAGGCTTGTTCTGTCTCTTAGGGCAGCTCCAACAATCATCTTAAGTTAGCTCTAATCATTTTTTCTTATATTTTAATATAAGAGAGAGAAAAGATAGCCCTTGATCAAGAACTAAGCTTTTGCACATATTTTAAGGTTACGTGAGAGTTTCATATGGGGCTATCCATATTAAAAGCTATGTGCTAAAAGTTAGTGCTATTGAAGAAGTTGGCTTAGAGCTAACTAGTTTTAACCATTAGCTCTCTGAGTTCTGCTTTATTCAACTTAGTTACTTCTGTTGATGCAATGGAAATTGGAATGACGTTTTGAAAAGAAAAAAAAAGGAAAAAACACTTTTGTGGTCATGGAAGTGGGCATACCAAGAGATCGTCCAAGCCGGAGGTACAAGGTCTCTGTCGCAGGTGTAACACTGGCCTTCCCCATGTCGAGGAGAACCCCGGTCCAAAGCAAGCACCTCGATGTGTTAGTGTCACCCATGGTGCCATCATTACTCGAGTAGGTATAGGCATACGCCAAGCACGAGCAATTCCTGCTACACTCAGCTTGGCATTGGTCGAAGCTTCTGTTCCTGATGTGCACAAACTTGTCAGGAATCTTCATTCCAGACAAGGTCAGGAAACGGTCTTCCTGTCCGCATTCCAGAGCTTCCTTTCTTCGGCATCCTCTTGAAGAGTTGAGAGCATCTATAGGCTCAAACCCATCTATGCACTGGCACGCTGGGGCAACCCTAGTGTGGTCGCAGTAACCAAATGGGCCACATGAGGCATAGAGATCACAGGCACTAGGCACCTCAGAAACGGCCTTCCATAGCAACGAGTTGTTGTTCCAGATTTGGAGCCACATGTTGCCGGTGTAGTCAAGCAACAGACGTGTGTAGGGTGAGCCCTCAGAAGCTGTATAAGTATAGTAGAATCCGTCTCCTGCGCTGAACACCGATTCGAACAAGACATAGGTAGGATTGCTCTGGTACGTGGTGCCGGACACCGAGAGATCATTGGTAACAATAGCAGTGCGGAGGTACGGTGAAGTTCCATTCCAGATGAACAACTGAAGGTTGGAGTTAGGATCAATACTGCTGGAGATGTCCCCGGTAGATGGGTCATCAGGGCCTTTCCATGCAACAAGGCGCATGGCAACTTGGGCCCTATAGGAAAACAAGAACTTCATGGTTGGAAGGATGGTGTCGGTTGGGTGATCAAAGCTTTGCCATATAACGTCCACCCCGCTTTGAAGGACAAAGTTCCCCGAATCGAGCAGTTTGGCGAAGGCTGTAGTGCCTCCCATGGTGACATTGCTTGTGGTTGCCCAATGAGTGCGTCCTTTTGAGTCGGACAACGAGAGTGTTAGATTGTTGTTGATGGCGAGCTTCGCTGAAGAAGGTGTGGTGATGGGGTTGTCACGGTTTGCGACCCACACCACGGTGCGCTTGGGGATGTTGTGGTACCAAATTCCAATGTATAAATTCTTACTGGAGCTGGTTGGGAAGAAGAAACCAAGGGCGAAGATCCCGCCTTCAGAGACAAGCATGTCTCCAGGATAGAGTGGCTTTGATTGTGTGAGTTGGTTGTTGGATTCGGAGAGAGTACTCAAGAGCAAGAATAGGAACATGAGGACAGGGAGGTAGGCCACATCCATCAGCCCTCTGTTCTTTGTAGTTTGGATGTGAAGTGTGAAGAAGAAGGTAGTATGTATATACATACACACGGAGAGCAACTAGATCAACAACTCGAATATTATTGTCATTGGGCTGGTAGAGTCCGCGGTCAAAAGAGCGAAGACTTGGACCAAAGTGGTGTAGCCCAGAGGCTCACGTCGTCTCCAATGAAAGTGATTGGTATAAAGACCATCTTGATGTGATGTAGGGTTCTTGGACTCCTAAAAGACCCTTTGAAAGGAATGCAACAATTTCACATGTATCATATATGAATTTCGTATAAATCAATTATTTTTCACATGGAAAACACAGTAAACATGGAAAAATCCCCACTGTAGAAGGGTTTAAATGTTTAACTTTTCCTGTATAGTACATTTAGAGCTTCTTTGGAATGCATGAATTATACTGGAATTTCACAAGAAGCATTTCAATTTCATAGAAAAAAAAATATACAAGATTTAGAAAAAATTTCCACATTTCAAAGGAGCCTTAGAGTCTTCTCGTTGATTTGAGCCTCCAGTTATGATGAGGACTACATTCAGGCCAGGAACAACATTGTTCATTGATCATGAAGACTGAGTTCCTGCTTTTTTTTTGGAGTGGAGAGGTCACCTCATTAGACAGCGAAGTTCGAAATTGTGGGCATCATACCACCGAGAGCACAATATGTTGTAGAGTTGACATTTGACGAAGGCTGAGAAGACTACTGCACGGAACTGGTCTCATCAGTGTCGTAGTTTACCGGGCAGTAAGGCTGATGTGCCAGTAGTTTTCATGGTGGTTTTGGATCTCGACCCCTGTGGCGTCTGTTACTTTAACCTCCGTCCGGTGGATTGCGGAATGTAGGCCAGACGCCCACACCCACTATCCAATTAGCCTCTTGTTTGTTGATGATTTGCCTGTGCAGAGTGAATATTATATACTCTCATTGGGATGGACGAATCAAAAGACAGCAATGACCTTAGACCAAACACCAAAGGCGCAGACAACGCATGCAGCACCCAGTTCACACAGACTCAGTAGTTGTTTAGTAGCAAAACAAAGACTAGTGTCTGCCGTGTGACGAGTGGAGTGGTGACATGGTCTTCTCCATGGGATTATTTACCAAAGCTTTTCACGGTCTTTCATCGCAGATTCATACGAGAAAGATAAATGATGCCAGTTAGGGGCCTTTCCGTTTCTGAAATTCGGAGGTTTGGCCACACGTTGTTGAGCACCTTTTTTCAGTCAAAAACCTTCTAGTGATACTATGATTTCTCATTCAAATTTATATATAAATCAAGAGTTCCTTACGGTACGTTGAGTAAGCGTGGTCCTTTCACTTCTCTATGATCGTCCAAAACTGAGATTGTTAATGTTTATGCTATGTTTCGAAAGA